ATTTTGATCGGTGTCCGAGGGCTCTTTTCTCGAACAGTAGGTGCGATACCTGTTCTTTTCTTTCTTTCGATCATTTTGTTTTCTTTTTCCGAGTGGTTTGTATCCTATTTTTGTTTTTTGTTTTCTCGCGGCGTCGTATGTGCCGGGTTTTGAGACCACGGGCTCCCCATTTTTTGTGGACTATAGAGCTAATTTGAGAAACAACAACAACAACAACAACGAAGTATTATTTGAACTGCTGTAGTCTATCACCGTGGACTGGGCGTATCTTCTGCTTGCGCCCGTGGTTCTCGCTCACGAGTGTAGCCACCTTGAACCCTCGACCACCGTCGGCGATGTGCAGCATGTCGTATGCATATAGATCCCAACCCCGCTGCCCCTTCCGATTATCACGAATTGTACAATAATTCATCCGCCTTTTTCGTTGTATTTTCCGTATGCCCCTTCATTTCGTCTATCTGCACACCCCGGCGCAGAGCGAGACGACCGTGTTCAACGTGGGGATGACTTGCGACGGTTGCGCCAACGCAACGAAGAGAATCCTGAGCAAGATGGAAGGTGAAGTTGCGCTCCGTGTAACGCTTGGGCGATTGGCGGTGTGGAATAGGTCTCTAACCATCCCTCTTGTAACCTACTGGACTAGTTGTACTTGCTACTTGTATTCCTGGTATCAGGTAATGTAGTCCCGGGAAAAAAGAAAAAATAATAAAAGAGTTTCTGGTGGTGGCGCGTACAACGTTTACGTCGTTTCCGGCCTTACATGTCGAAAGAAGTCAGCGTAGCATGCACAGCAGAGCTGGAGGTGGATGGCAACTTCGCAGAGAATCGATTTGCAACGACCCTACAACAAGACTTGGTAAGACCGCCGTTTCTCGGTCATGCGCAAAATTGAAGGTACAAGTACATCGCGAGGGTAAAATTACCAGGCACCTGTCCCGTCTTACACGTGGTACAATATGCTGACCTTGGGGGAGCGAAAAAGCTCAAGTGCAGTAACCTACACCACACGTATTGCCGCCTATAGGACATTGAAACAAGTAAAAAAAAAATCACGACCCCGGTTTCAGCGGGGTCAATTAAGTTTCATTCCCTCCGCTGCTTGGGCGTGGCTGACCCCAGTTCTTTCACCACCTCGTGCTCCTAACGCAGACCTCGGCGTGCCACTTAAGTATATGGGCACCTTAAGCAGGTCATACCCTCCATCGGAAAGCTGTGTTTGCCCTTTGATTTTGCGTTCGACGCCAAAAATGCCTCAGAATCACATCTGAGTTGAACCAGCTTTCTGCTGCTGCGTGCACCATTTCAGCGCTTGTGAGGCAACTTGCACTTAGGGTGGCCTGAACGCTACGAACCCCCAGTTCGCCCGGTACTTGACCTTTAGAAAAGAGATTAAAAGACCATGGAACGAATGCATGATGTGCACCGGCTGGGATCTCCACTGCAGCGACCGCAGTTGGCCTGCGAAAGTCGGCCCAAATTCAGGTCTAAACTCCAGCAGTCAGCAGAGAGGCCTCCAAAACGATCATCTGTCTACCTCCGAAAACATCATACAAATTCAAGCCATGGAAACACGCAACGGACCCAAACGGCGCTGGCCTGAGGAATAGGGAGAACCAAACGTGGCAAAAATTGGTGTGTGTGCGTCTGCACATGTGGTCAACGCATAGGGAGGGATCAGCACTGCAAGCAAGAGTTGTGTCAGAATAACGAAGAGTCCCTCGCGGAAAGTCTGCTTCCGGATGTGATTCCAGGATTTGTGATGTCTGCATAAAAATATACATGTATGGCCGTTCATCCATCGCCACGACCCCCTTCGGCGGCAGGCGTGTCGGCGGTGGAGGCGGACGTGTCTGCCAAGACAGTGACAGTGTCGAGCGATGGATCCACGACGAAGCAGGCCATGCTGGACGCCTTGCTCAAGTGGTCCGCGGCCAGCGGCAAGAGCGTCGAGCTCGCCAGCTAGAAGAACCCTCTTCTTTGTTGCGGTTATTGTGTCGGAACCACTTGTTGGCTTTGCGCGGATGAAGAAAACTTTGCCATGGTTGGCCGACTGTATTTTGTAGGTGTCAGGCGTGGCGGCGCGGAGCCTAGGGTGGCGGGGCAGGGTTGTATTTTTTGGGCGTTGTAAATTGGAGGGCATCATCCCTGTCTCGGCTGGAGAACCACTTTCGTGTCGTTGTTTGCTGCTGCTGCAGGCGTGTGTTGACGTGGGTTCGCGCGCACGGCGATAGCGGTTGGGGTCGTGGAAGCGTTCTTGTGTGTGGGAACCGCGGAGAACACCGAACAATTCACCGGGACGATAACATCTCGAATATGTGCCGAACACACCAGTGTATCGATTCGGAGGGAACTGCTTGGATGTCGAATGTACAGTGTGAAGTGCTCAGCGCCGCATGACCGGAGGTTTGGTCTTCACGAAGAAAGCAGTGGTCGAAGCTGCTGCTTACATCGAACGGGGTTGTCGTGGAAGTCTAAGTGCACGTAGAAAAAATCAAGAGACAACTCCCCGTCGGGAGGCTGGCGTCTTTGTTTCACCCCTCATGAAGACCTTCCCTGGTGCCCAGCTGACGTCCCATGACCGCTGTCGTAGCAGGCACAAGTCGCCCCGAGAAGAGGGTTTGGAGTAACGGCGGACGGCAACAACAATGCGACACTTTGCATCATCAGGGGGCCCTGTGTTGCCTGTGCGTCGAGTCGACATTTGCTCTCATTCCGGTTGGCTTGGCACCCCGCTCGTCACCTTTCATGCCGCCCTCTAAACAAACATCAGGCCACCGTTGTAATCTTCGTGTGTGCACTGAGAAGTGCGCCAAGTTTGCGCGTTGTAAAGAAAATGTGCCGTAAGGCAGTGACTTCGCGTTGTCACAACGACCGCTGCCTGACGCGCGTGCCGCCCGTTGGTTGCTGAATCGGCCTTGAGGCTGTGTGGAAGACAACGAAAGACAATAGCAATCGAGAAGCACCCCAGTCTGTGAAAGATGTTTGTTTCAGACGCAGCAATGTAGGGTAGTTTTCTTCCTTACTGGTTCTAGAGCTCGTGGTATAAGACGGAGAGCGTGTATTTTTCTGTCTCTAATCTCTTCTTCCACATGTAATGCGCATGCGAGAGCACTCATCTACGCCCCTTATGTTCCTGGGCGTGACACATTTTCGGGGTTTCTCTCTTTAGACGACCCTTCCATTTGTGAGCCCGTCGGCAAAAATTAAGGGGCTTCTCAGTTGAGGCCGGGGCTCTCGGGCTGCTATTTCAGATACAAGTGTAGAGGAGTTTCTTTTCCTTCCTGGTGCTAAATAAGGAGCAAACACCAACATTCCCTCACGTCTCAAGAACAAACGACACCTCATCGTGCTGGCTGGGACAGACTACACTGTGGTCCTTTTCAACGTCAACTCCGCAAGTGTCGGCCGCTTTTCGGGCAAGCTGCTTTTCCCGACAAGATACAACACACAACAAAAACAAATTATCGAAATCGTGCGCTTGGGAGGTATTGGGCCTGAAACCTCCGCCAGAAAAGAGGTACGGGAGTCTAAGCTCCCAAGCTTTTGTTCCAAGGAAGGGAATTACCATTGACTGCCTCTATGGCGACCCCTGCCCCCGAAAAAACGGGAAACGGTTGTGTGTTAGGAGCGCACTTTGTCACACTTGTGAAAAACAAATGGCACGTACAACAACACCGATCTTACCACAACGTTAGCTACTCGTGCCTGCTGTAGCGTCACTCACAAACGCGCTGAATGCGCGTAGGAAGCTCCGTCCACACGAGCAGACCTCGGGGGCGCTGAAGAACAGCTAACGAAATCAGCCGCCGCCCGTTATTAGAGGGAAGCGCAGAGGGAGGGAGGGGGGGTTGCGACGACAGCGCAGCCCCCAATGCCCCATGCCCCGCTTGAAGCACCTCTCCCATCAGCCATCAACTCATAACAAAGCGCGACGTCAAACCTTTATTTTTACCCTTCTTTCAAAGTCGACACACGTTTCCAAAAATTCGCATTCCAGCGGAGAGCGAGGTACTTCATACCTGCCTGGACATGACTAGCCTGACTCGATCAAAAACGCCTCGCACAAAAAACTGAACAAAACACGAAATGAGCAATGACCAACCGCTATGCCTCTTAGTTGAAGTGGCCGAGGACGAGCGACGTTTGTTGGTGGGGGGCCGGGGCCGGCGTGGGAAGCATTCGGTCCATATATATTTTTCGCCCGCTTGAGCCACATCCGGAGCTGTATGGACAGGACGAAAAGAAAAACACGACAGGCGAGGTATGGGCGCACACACACAACCTTGGCGCATGTTGGTTCCGAGGCCGCCTCGCCACTGCCAACGGTAGTACTACTTGCTGCAGTTCCTGCGGCTTCGTCTGAGGACGCGTTGGCAGCAGGAGGAGCCATCGAGGAGCTGCTGGCGGCTGGTGGTGATTCCCAAACCAATTTCTTGGCTCAGCTCTCCGATCAAATCAGCGGCTGGCCGTGCGGCCCCCCCGGGGGGCGGCGGGGGCAGAAACACTCCGCCAGCCCACACGTGATGATGCAACAGAAGGTGCGTCGCAGGCAGAAGCACAAGTCGTGGATGGGACCGCAGCAGCAGCACAAGCCGAGCGCTAGGTCGGAAGTTCGAAGAACCAGCGCGTGCGTGCGTCCGGCAGCCGTAAAAAAAAAAACACAGGTGCAGCAAAACACAAACGAAACGGCACGGGGGGGCGGAGTTGAACGTCTGACTTCGTGGATACGGAGATGCAAGAGAAGCGTAGAAGGCAACTTTCCCTCCGGGTGAGCAATCTCACGGGGGATATAGCAGAAAAAAAGGGGTAAGACATATTATAGCAGTTGAGCCCAGAGTCACAGGTACTCTCAGCAGTGCACACATGCGCTAGTCAAGTGAGTGACGTCGTCCATTTCTAGTCCATTTTCCTGCGCAGGTGGTGAGGGTGCTCCTTGGAAAATTCTCAATGCGTGCTCCGTGTCGATCCCGTTTCTTCAACACCAAATCAAAGCCGTCAACACGTCGTCTGTCTTCCGCAAGTGGACAAGTTGGAGCCCAGGTGGTTCTCCCCCATGCCTATCTAGGTGTGACGGGTTTTGGTTGTGTGAGATAGTGTTTCGAAGCCCCCCTCTCTCTTTCGCCAACAACGCTTAATATCCTCCTCGCGAAGGCGGTCCACCGAGATGGTGCTCGATGTTGAACAATATCCATAGAGCGCTTCCGGTACTCACGTGGTCCTCCCGGACCGTGGTGTGGCCCTCCCCACCCTCCTGGCCCTCCCGGCCCTCCGCCGTGGCCTCCGCCATGCCCCCCGCCGTGCCCACCACCTCCTGGACCTTGAGTAGCGACAGAAAAACAAGAAGAGGGGGGGGGAACGGCGGGTAGGTTTTCTTTCGTTTAAGCCCATTGCGATGGGAGTGCGCTTGTATTGAGCCCGACGCGTTCCTCGAAGACTTGTCACGTGTGCTTAGAGAGGGTTTGAGGCGGGGAGGACGGAAGTATGTGTAAGAAAGGTGTACTCGTGTTTCACATGCCGTCGTTTGTTAGACCATTGGCCACGCGTCCTCCAGAGCACGGAGCGTTTGCTGCAATCATAGGACCGATCGCCGATGGCCAATCATTGCTTCCTGCTTTTATCAAAAAGGTGGTTCGAAAATGCTTCCCTGTGCTGCCTGTAACACTTTTCGCCTGCCCAGGCCAACTGTTGTATATCCCGGTACAGCTATCGTCTTCTGGCCGCGCCGTGCCTCAAACTTCTCCCGGTATGGACCTCCTACTTTCCCCAGTTCCGTCATGCACAATTCTCTTTCTCGAAATGGACGCTCTGCAGCTGCATCAACCCGATCTTCACACCCTGACCCGTATCAGCAAATGAACTTGCTGTCGTCGTCGCCTACCTTCCTAAATGCTCGCATGTGTTCTCGAAGGTCACTGTCTCAAGTCCGAAGTTTGACCTTCAACGTTTGTCCCTGCATCCTGCAAGTTCTCCATTCATTCTATTAGTCCTTCGTTCACCCCACCCATTTCGCAGATTTCTAGACCTTTCTTTTCCTTAGTTTCCTTTCGTATGTTCAGGTCTTATTTCTCTTCTCTTCCCCTAAGCCCCTCTTAGGCCTTCCATTGCAAACGCAACACACTCGTCGATATCGACCCCGCTCAACGCTTCCTCTGCACGCTCTCTCCACTCTGTGGGCTGTCTAACAACCCCTCGCCTTGTTTGCCCACTTCGCCTCCCAAACATTTGTGGCAGTCGCTCCTCTCCCACATCTGCCATATGGTGTTGCCATTCTACATAGTGGCATCATATCTCTTCCCGTTCGTAGGGATCGGAGCCCCCCAATCCTTTTGCTCCTACGGCCGCGTTCTTTATGCGGTTGAAACTTTCCAGAATAACCTTCGCTGCTTTTATCAAACTCTCGTACCCGTCGGGACCATGGGGCTAGCTAGGTTACAGCCGAAACACCGCTGTACAACAACAGGAGTTCCATCAAAAGAAGCATCGCACAGGAGCTTGAAGAGCACAGCCGGCGCGTACTACCCGCACACGACTACTGGCAAACGTAAAAGAATTCAGCTGCCACATACTTCCACGACGAACATTCGAAAGCGAGAGGAAAAAAAAAATACGAGTGTCACAGGCGTCCCGCATCTAACGCGGGACCCAAGCCATCGCCGCGTCCTTCGTTCGACGCCTTATTGCCCCGTTGCGTGCTTAACGAACAGAAGATACCTTCCAAGGTCTCCTGGAACCGCGCGCGGAGCTTTTTCACAGCGGCAAGCAGCTACAATTTTCAGACCCGGTGATGATGTGCTGTCTACCGAGCATGGCACTGCTTCGCATTTGTACTAGCTAGGCCCTGGGCTAGAAAAGAGGGCTTGGGCAGGGTGCGTCCGCATGGCATGGTGTGTGTGTAGCTTGGCGAGGGGCCTGCTGCGCCAATGAAGGCAAGAACACAACAAAAATGCTCATCATTGCTCGGTGTGCATCATTCTCATTACTGTAGGTGTGCAGCAGCTGCACTACGCGGCAGCAGTGGCCGTCAAGTCGAGACTCCAGATCACGTCAAAGCTTGTTTGTTCCTCCTCCTGCCGTGGATAAATGCTGCCTCAATACAAAAACCGAAACAAACCGCCCGTTTCTGTTCCCCCTACCAAGCACTGCCGCCCCAGAATAAGCACCGCGCTGCATCTACTCAGTAGCACCTGTTCGTATGCTTACGTACGTATAGACGTCACAGGCAATCGCAGTCGGTGCGAGGCGTTCTGACTTTCACGAGTCGCGCACTCGGTCTACTGCTGTATACGGAAAGCGGAGCGACTGCTGTGTGCGTACACTACTGCTATCGCCAGACCAGGAGAAGCTCTGTTCCCAGAGAAAAAACATCTGAAACCGATGGTTAATAGGTATTAGTCCACTTCGGCAGGCACGCGCGTATTAGCAAGAGAGGCGCCGATACCGGCCCGCAAATAATGAATTCTGCTCCTACATACCATCGGTTCTTTTAGTCTATGCCGGTGTGTGGGGTATTACAAGGCTGAGTGCTTGGTGCTCGGCGCTGAGGGTGTGACACTCTCGCTTGTTTCTCCTCACGCGCTTGAAGGGTGCCTCATGCGAGTGGGCCGGTAGGAACCCCGACCTTCTGCTGCAATTTTTAAGGGGTCCCTCGGTGTGTACTAAACACTTATGTTTGTATCGCAGCGGGCTGCCGCTATTCCAGCCCATCCGCGTAGAGCGCGCACTGCGCGTCGCAACAAGAGTGGCGGTCCGATCTCTCGCATTTGCAGGATAACGATCCTCCTGCAATATGCTCGGTTGTTTAGAGAACATGATAATCACGATCACACAGCACACAGCAGTGTTTTTATGTGGTTTCTGCTGTGAGCGCGAGCGAGTGGGGTTGCGGAACAATTGATGAAAACGTAAGAGATGTCTTCTGTGCCGGCTCATATATAGGCGAGAGGACCTCATCAGGACATAGAGCGTCGTTTGCTAGCACCTCGAGGTGCAACCCGCTCCGTGGTTTGAAGATAGCAATACTCGATCGCGTAAGGAACAGAGCACCCCCACGGCTGCACGGTTTCACGCTTAGCGACCTACTGGCACGCTAGGACTTCGATATGTTGTCTGTTCATCCTCTACAGGTATGGAAGAAAGCGGGCACCCATGACACGGAGGTGCTATCAGAAAGCTACATACCAAGCCGGGGCAATGGACATCCGTTCTGCAGGTGTCTCTTCGGGGCTGGACGTCCTTAGGTGCTGGTGTGCGTACAGCGGGTAAGCAATGTTCTCTTCTATCTGCAGAAAGCACATGGAGCGAGCACGGAGACGTGTACATTGGCACTCTTTCTCACCAGGCATGTTGTCGTTTGGTCCTTCAACTCCTTGAGATATCCTCTCTCTGCTGTCCGAGGCAACCCTCCCTGTTGTTAGAAGTGGCTAGATTCTCGAAGCTTGTTGTGGGCGTTAATGCGCAGGAACCGCGCACGCTGATGAATGCTTCTAAATGGTGAAGAGATTGTTGGATGCGTTGGATGGTTGCTGGAGGAGATACGCCTGGTTCTACGGAGATCTGGGAGATCTGGGATACAGCTTTGGAAGATTGCGCATGAACACGTTCTGGTAACTGCTGAAGATTGGTTGCATATGTAGCCTGTTTCCTCTCCTACTCGTTCTGTCTTCCTCCGTTTCTTTTACTGCGGTGGTGGGCTCGCCAACAACTCCCCTTCTACCAGCATGGAAAGGAGAAAGACTACATGTAGGAAACCTGACGTTGATGTTGATGGTCATAACGACGGGTGCTCTTTTCCCGTTCCGCGGTCGAGGTCCCGGCATCCTTCACGAGCAGGTATCGCCGTCCAAGACGGGGAAAATCTTCTCCGTTTGTACACCTCAGCGGGAGGAAAAGCTTGGCGAACTAGCCTAGGATGGCCAGCTGTAAGCGACTGCATGACTAGGAGAACCAGCGCAGGGACTGGCCGATCGGTCTCACCCCACACCTCATCGCGGAATCCTTTTGGCAGGGTTGTATCCAACGACGGCGACCGACCGGCAGTTGCCGCGGCATCCGCAGCGGTAGCGGTCGACGCGACCCCCTCCATATCCCACCTCACGGCTTGCCGCGGTGGCGGCTCCCCTGGTAATCCCTTCGTCCCAGCATCAGAGGAGGGGCAACCAAAAAGAAGAAGCTGCTCGCCCATCAACCCGTTTTCCCCGCCGATAGATGTTCTGCGAGCTGCTTCGGACGAGCTGCTAGCGCCAGATGCCTCGCAAACTCCTTCACAATCGACTGTTGTTGCCACTGCTGCTGCCGCTACTGCTGGTGGCGATAGCAGGCGGAGAGCTGTAGAGATTATAGAACCACTTCCTGACATCAATCTTTGTGCTCGACCTGCTGAATCGCAGCAGCAAAGGGCAACGGAGAGGCTGCCAGCACGGCAACCCCTGCGAAGCACGTCTCCGCCAAGCGCAGCAAGTGACACGGGTAGCTTGTTGCGACGTAGTTCCCGATCCCTTGACCCCCCACCAGCCATATCTACGCGATGGACCATGCTGGACCCACCTCGAAAGAACGATTGGACACCTCCCGACTCTAGAGCAGAATGGTTCGGTGTTTCACTGGGGACAGGCGGGCGGGTGACCGAGCTAAAGCTGGTCGACAACGGCCTCGTCGGGACCCTTCCGAATGCTCTGGGTGGCCTGGAGATGTTGCGATACCTTCATCTCGGTCGTAACACCCTATCAGGTTGGTCAGTTGGTTGGCTGCCAGCAGAAGTCGGCCCATGAGCTAGCTCCGGCTTTGCAACAAGACCTCGTATCGGTGCCCACTGATCGACAAATTCAAGACAAGGCGAAAGAATAGATGTGTTTGTCACTCTAAAGCAAAGCTCAACATGAACAAGCGGTTGTCATACTCTGAAAACAATGGGCCTTCGAACGCAAGTTCAGCGATTGGATGAAACGGGATGCGTCTCAACCCTTGTTGCCCATTCCCATCCCCTGCTTATTCTCCCCCAATCGGCTCCACTCGAAAAGGGACTATCCCAAGTGGCCTCTCGAGCCTCGGGGCCCTCGAATGGCTCAACCTTAGTGAAAACGTTCTTACAGGACCGGTGCCGGGGTCTCTGTCCAGTCTTAGTAGACTGGTGGAGCTGAACCTCAGCGCCAACCGCCTTGCTGGCCCTCTGCCGCCAGAGCTCTGCGGCATGGCGTCCCTCGTTTGTCTCCAGCTCTCCAAGAACGACCTGGAAGGCTTTCTACCGGCTGAGGTATGTGTCATTCCACCTTTTGGTCTCGTTTTGTTTTGCTCACGCTTAATGTGCCTGTACATATCTTTGGCCCGTTGGCCTGGAAACGCGCTAGAATCAAACAGTACGCACACACAACAAGAAACCCCTCTTTCTGTGGCTTACCCACCGTTCACCAACTCCCGACCGTGAAGGCTACTCCAATTGTAGATCAAAAATGTTCTTCGGTCTCCAAGTTTCAAACCAATTTCAGGATTTCACTCTTGTAAGGTTATTCTATGGAGTACTATATCGTGGTGTGAGGTTGTTAGAATACCTGCCGGCGAAACTAGCACACAGGGCGGCGCACACGAAATGCACCATTGAATTCTTTCAGTTCTACGCCTCTGTACTTCGTGATGATGAGGTGGGAAGGGCAGTCCAACCTGAAGGCATGCATGCACGCAGAGAATAAGTTGACGCCCAGTTGTCGCAGCCTGACATCATCGTAGCATCGAAGATGCACTGCGTATACCATGGTACAGTAGTGCAGTGTGATCCTTTGATGTCCTTTCGATGTCCTTTCGATGTGAGGCTGTGATCATGACTACGCACACAAAGGTTTTTTCCACCAAAGTGCAGACTTGTGGTTCGATGACGTCTGGGCCTAAGGTAGGGTCCAGCTGGCCCACGAATAATTACTCCCTAGGCATACAAGTTGTTTGAGCAGCATCGCTTCACATGGTAGCTCACGCCGCCCGAACATCACTCCAAGTTCTTCTGCGAAAGGCATAAAACCAATATATCCCTATACTCCATGAAGGTGGCGACTTCTGTATATCACGACCAAGGTTCCTCACTCCCACGTGGAATTTCTCTCATTTTTATACTCCCCACACCCACACCACAATGTCGTTGTCATCGTCATTACCTTTCAAGATTTCGGAGCTAACCTCACTGGTAACCCTGTGTCTGGACCACAACCGGTTTTGCGGGCCGATTCCGCGAGGGGTGGCGGGAATGAAGGCCCTGAAGGAGCTGCGGCTGGATCACAACGTTCTCACGGGTGAATGGATGTCTCAAACCTACCCCTTGAAATAACACCCAAGCAACAATCCTTCCTTTGGTTGGTTCATATTACCGAATCCAAGCGGATTTGTTGGATCAGATAAACCCGCCAGAGCGCTTCTGCTGGAGGTTGAAACCGTCGTCTATTCCTTTTTTCCCGAAGAACGTATCGGCTATGTGTTCTCCGAGTAGCTTTGCACGTCCCAGTCGTCGCTCTCTCGAATGCCTCCTTCTTCAACCTTGCGCCGGTCCGGGCTACACTATCCTCAAGCGAGCTAGCTGCGGTCGAGGATAATCAATACCAGTGGCGACAACGTTTGTGCGTGCAGAGACCAGTACCAAGCGACTGCGGAAGTATGCGACACAACCCCGTCTCAAGCGCTCAACGATAGGCGTTGAAATACCTCTGGTATTCGCGTTGAACACAATCTCGTTCGACTAGCAGGAAGACCGCTTCAATATTAGCCCAGGTTAACCACACGATCCCCTCCTCCCAACACCAGGCCGGATACCTTTGGGTATGGGCAAGATGAAGTCTCTCAAGATCTTGAGCTTGTCGAACAACCTGCTCGGAGGGTCCATGCCGGAGGGACTGATAGCAAACCTCGGCGCAACCCGGGTGCAGAAGAATATCATGCCTGGCAACCGCCTGGCGGATGTCGACACCGTGAGTTTCTCGCACTGGCAGCTTGGATCTTACGCCCTCCAGCCCCCGTGATAGCGGCACTCGCCCTGGGACGTGGTAGAAGTGTTGAAGCGGCCTTCACGCACGAAAGATCTGAAATCACGAACATGCACGCGGTCCCCCCTCCCTCCTTCCGAATACATGACATGCGACCAATAGTATCCTCCGTCATTATGCTTTGAGGCCCAAGCGCGCCCCAAGGTCAATCCGATCTCAAATTTCCCAACAGGCGTGTGTGGGTTATGCCGCTTTCATGAGCATTCGTGCAGGGCGGTGCAAAAACAAATGAAAAGTTCTTGACGGGAGTGTTCTAGTAACTTTCTCTTGTTTGCTTGGGGGATATGCATACCTAGTAAAGTAACAAGCCGTAGCAAATGCTGCTGTTCATACAAAGCGGCTATAGAGCCAGGCACGTTCGCATCATATCCCAACAATTTAGCGCAGTGAGCTTCCCCCACGCGCGAGCGAACTCCCCTGCTCTGAAGAACATCTGCACCTTTTTTCATTTTCATGAATTCATGCGCACGTGCTCAGGCAATGCTGCTATTGAGGCGCCCCTTGCACTGCCGAGCCGACCGGTGGTTGCTAATATTCTCGCTGTTTGCGGCTTACGTGGATCTCGGGACCGACGTCGGGGCGGCGGTGACATTCTACTTAGGTATCAAAGTCGCTGCTTGCTGTAGCTGCTATTTGCGTGACTTCCGTGCAGCTGCTGCTGCTGCTGCTGCTGTATTGTTGCTGTGTATCCCACCGATACTGTTGCAGTAGTTGTTGAAGGTCGCTTTGTTGCGGGTAGTCTTGTCGGTTTTTCTGACGTTGGTGCCGATGTTGGCGTTGCCATTCTGAAAACGAATTGCTGTCGTGGCATCAACAAATATCCGCCGTCGTCCGTACACATGAGTGTTTCACGTTCCTTTTCTGCCCAAATATCGTCGCCGACCTTGCTCAGGCCTAAACAGAAGGTGGTCCCTGTTCCTTATAGCAGAGGCGGCCGACAATACCAATGTGTTGACTTTGCCGCTGTTTGTCTTGCTGTTTTCTGTACCACCCCGCCAAGGGTCAGACGTGTTGTCCTTCGCCCTCGTGGTGATTTTCATTGTCGTGCCCACGAGCGTCGTGGTCGCCAGCACCATGAGCGGGTCCAGAGAGCGCGATCGGAACAAGAAGATATTGCTCACCGTTCTTCAGGTGCACTCCTGATCTGCGGAGCCCCTCGTACCTCTCACCTTGGCCCTCTACCCACTCTTAATTTGACTAGTTTTCCTATCATTTTTCTCCCTTGACGCCACGCCATCTGGAACCCAGCATGACACTGATAAATATCCCCTCACCTTCACCGTGAGCTGCTTGTCTTGGCCTTTTGCATTCGAAGTGTGAAAAGCATTTCATGGGAAAGCATGACGGACGAGGAAGTATCGATAACGAGAACCCCTCCTCCCTGTGTTGTCCTTTTGGCCAAAGTTTTCATTCACTTTCATATACAGGGGTGGGGGGTGGGGGTAGGACCAGGGGAGTATATTAGCTCGAATTTTACAATTCGATCCAGGCTGCCATGAAAATCAAGAGGTTAGCAACGCTACGTGCTCGACCGGTCGACCTGCGCTTGTTCATACAAGAACGACACATCGAAGCTAGAGTATAAACCGTGCCGGCGCTGTCGCGCGATGAAGGTAGCTTTCATTCCCTCGCATCGACCGCCCCCCCTCCTCAACCTGCAGCTTCGTCTAGTGTGGGAAGCGCGTGACGGGTTGAAGAAAGGGCGAGAGACGAGAGACTACAAGACGGCCAAGTTCGTCGAGGCGTGCTTTGAGGCTGCGCCACAGGTAAGAGGGTAGCTGCTGCACCTAGCGCATGAGCTCGTAGTCGAACAGCTTGTGATCGCAAGGCGAAGGTATGGGAGATCACCACCACCACCAAGGTCAGGAAGACGGAAGGAGATCTGTTTTTTGTATCAACAGCGGCGGCATGATGCAATGCACGTACGAGATCGTCTACATGGGATTACATTTCGCATTCGCAGAGAGGGGGTTAGCTTTCTGTACCAGCTTGTGCGCAACGCAACCAAGAATTGCCCCGCTTCTCGTGTGTGCGCTTGGAGACGAATATGGTCAAGGATGAAAGAAGAAACCCCTCCCCTTTGCAGATGCTGCTCCAGACCGTCGCGGTAGTGTCCCTGTGGAACGACAAGGAGGCCGACAATTCCGACATGTTCGTGGCCTTCTCGATTATGAACTCCGTCTTCTCCGTCTCGTGGGAGACCATGTCGGCTCTGGACAGGTGAAACGGCGAGCCTTCAGGCTCTTTGTCTTTGAGGCTGAAGTGTACCACGTTGAAATCGCGGAGTCAAAAGTGGGCGCCGGAAGAGGCAGAAGAGGTCCGTCCTGTAGAAAGTTTGTGATGGGAGAAGCGCCAGCACGATGTGCGGCAGTGACTCGCCGCAATAGCTCCTTCTATCTTAAAAAAGGTACAACACGCGGTCTTCCCACCCACTATCAAGAAATTCCTCTTGCGTCTTTACACTTTATTGTATTTCTGTGTTTGGATACGGACTGGTTAGATCTACCGGCAACAACAGAGGGCACGTAGATGGGGCATATGTACACCTTGAAATGGTTGCATGTGCGGGGACCCCTCGAACTCCAAAGAGGGCTTCACTTCTCCCTACTCCCCTTGCGTGCCTAATACAAGAGATAAAACGCCTTCCCCTTCCAAGTAAATGATATATACGAACATATTGTGTTATTGTTGTTGAATTCTTGCGCGCGTTATTCTCCCAAAATGCCGGGACTTCACCTGCGCAACACCGCCACGAATTTCTACCTGCTTGCCTCCTTTCACCCTACGTTTCGTCGCGACCTCCTTTCCAAGAGGGTGGGCGGAAGAGATGGTCGAGGAGCGGGCCAGACAGGGGACATCCTGGCCCTGCGGAGCGTCAGCTCACCGCTGGCTCGTGCTCTTGAGCCTGTGGGTGTTCCACGTGTGCGAGGCGAGTGCCATACTACATCTTTTCCGCCCCCCCCCCCCCCCCCCCCCCCCCCCCCCNGGTCGCCGCCCGCCGGACACACTAGAACGATTCTCGTGATTTACTGCAACGGCAAAAGCGGCCTTCCTCTCGAAGGCTTTCGCAAAATTTTCAATACTAGACCCAGCAATGCCTCAACTATTGCTGCCACCCATTGCGTGGTGCCGCAGGTCGGGTTACGGGGGTCAAGCCTTGCCGTGCTGGCTCTAACGCTCCGAGGGTGGTCGGCTCTCGTGATGGCGGGGGTTTGGGGCGCGCGGGTTGCCATCGCGAAGGCAACGGAGGCGTCTGACCTCAAAACTACCAAGGTGCAAGCAGCAAATAGTTGTACTCTACACGACTGTAACGGAACGTGTGCGCACCATGTGCGCACTAACTGCCGCTCAGTATTTCCGATGTCTGTTTTTATCGCCATGGCTATCTAAGCTAGGTGCTTGACGGATGAGTTGTTCTTGGTTGTGTCACTGTCGAAACGCCCAACCCACCATCAGGTTCTGATTAAAGCCCTTGCAGCATGTCTGCTCGATTCCATCTGGGACAGCAAGTCTGCCTACATCGCCGCATCGGTGTGCACTTTGCTTGAGGTGAGTGTTTGTGTCACCGTGGAGGTCGCGTTTCCCGAATTGTTACGATTCCCACCGCGCCTCCTCTCCCCTTCGGTGTGCACCTGTCCTACTCCTATCGCCGCTTCAAGGTGCGGAACCGAGCTTCGCTATTGTACAACGATAGTCATCTAATGCAATCGTACGTTCAAGCGGATCGGAACATCCGTCAGAACTATAACCGCCACCGCAAGTATACCGTGAACACCCCCACCTTGCCCCCTCCCCCTCTTCTCCTCTTCCCTGTGCCCCTCTCCCTACTACTCCCCAGTCGAGCACTTTCTTCGTTGTGGCCTCGTTAGAATTGCGAGGAGAAAATACTCCGCTCGAGGAAGCCTTATCCGAAGTAGCGTGGGTCGCAGGGAGCGTCTACGCCCTACGGTTCGTGCTCGACCTCTGGTTAAGGGCGCCGCTGCACTGGGGGACGTTGATCGATGTTGAGGACTTGCCGTTTTGCTGCGGGGGGGGGATTTCCAGGCTGAGAGGGGCGCTATTCGGAAGGCGTTCGCCATCAGCAACAACACTGCCAGCAGAACCACCGCAACTTGGGACCACGCCACAGGCGACGCCAATGTCGCCACGGCGTGCTGGCTTTTGGCCTCGGTAGACCTACAGCAGATATATTGTGTCGTTTTTGTTCCTTGAATACAACTTTAGTCTAGTGCGCTGCCTTATAGATGTGACTTACCCTAGCTCATGTTCCAAATATCCAACAAGGTGGGTGCGTGCATTTTAGTGAGCGATGGTTCTGCTGTCGAGAGAAGAAGCAATGTTGCATAGTAACACAGCAGTAGATAGCAGTATGAAGGAGCTTTTCCTTCTTGAGAAGAAGGGGCCGGCTGTAGCTGGCTGTAGTTGGGACTCGTTGCGCCCTTGTTTGTTGGCGCCGAGCCAATGTAGAACGAATGTGTTGTGGAATAGAGGTATTGCCTGCAACTTCCCACACAGCTCAAGTACGCATACATGGGGCTGTTGTGGGTAAGCACCGACTTGAGACACTGTTTGGGATGTGGCGAATGTGCACCAAATACATTGCGACGTAAATTTTTGTCGCAACAAATGTTGAATGGGGTAGGGGTGTACCACTGTTCACGACGTAAACGGCCTAAATGCGGAGGAATTGGCTGTGAACTATTGTAGTGGGTATGCCCTGAGAACGAAAGGCCGAACTATTGTGGGATCTCGGTGTATTGAGTCGTCACGATACACATCTGTGAATTGTCGTCAATATACAGAGGATAGGCGTAACACGCTCACGAAAAATGAACAACCAGGCTTCACTGCAACGCACTGCCTGAGCAGGGTCCAGCGGATACTTAACATGTCAACTCTTCGGTGTCATCCCCCGCCCTGTCCCTCCGCTTACCACCTTGGGTATCATGGCATGTCTACCCTGACGCTTCCGATGTCATCAGAATTATAGTACATTTTCAGTTCTGACCGATACACAACTAAAATTAAGCATCACCTCATTCCGTGCAAGACAACACGATTTATTTTCATTTTCATTGGTCGTATCTCCTGTCGTGTACTGAGTCTACCGGCTACCTTCTATTAGCCTGCCGTCAGCACGCGCCTCGAAAACCACGGGGGCTCTGTGTCTTTCCCGACACACCCATCATCGCCACCACCCCCAGCCCCTCTCCGCTCTGCAGGGCCCGAGCTCATGGCGGTGCTTCCAGTGGCATCACAGCAGACGCTCTGACTGGCGGAAGCGGCGGTGGGATACAATCCACCGGTGCCACCACGTACTAAATCATGTGTGTCTTGGTTGCGGTTGTTGATGTCGCCGTCATTGCCTCCCTCTTGCTCCTGGAAAGGTCCCCCATGAAATTCGGTGGCGAAGAAAACATCGACCCTTCCGAGTCGCAGCGAAGAAGAAGAAGTGGCCTCGCCGCCGCGCGTCCGTCCTGTTTCTCGTGCGAGACGGTGGTGGATGGTGTCGTGTGCAGCAGCGCCAAGGCAGTGACGCGTCAATCGGCGTGTTGGCGTTCATGCATTCGACGCCACACTGTTGTCTTAAGCCGCTTCGACACGATGCAAACCTTATACCTGCATGGCCCAACAATCTACTTGTAGCATGGGCCACATTCTAGTATGGTAGTGTGGATGTGACCCTGGGTCGGAGTCGAGTGCATAAAGAGCAGAGGTGTTAGAGCTGTGCAGTTTCGAGCTGTATCAGTGAGGGGCATGACTGGGAATATCTTGGGGGACATTTACATGTAGACCGCGTAGTGAAATATCGAACTCTTACCACCCGTGGTGTCGGAGGAAGGAGAAGCAGACGCCAGAGCCTCGAGGCGAGCAGCGTTCCGCGTCAGCACGGCGATTTTCGAGCGTATCTGGTCGGCCTCCTGTCGGACGGTCTCATCCTCCTCGTCCGCCATAAGCTGCATACGCCGCTTTCGAATGAAACGGAAATAATGGGAGGGTGCGCGGGCAAGGGAGAAGGGCTTGTTTCTTGGAAACGGGTGGTGGTACAGAAACGCTGGTAGCGAGAACAATGACGGCCGTCGTGGGTGGAACGGTGGCAGAGTCGCACGGGTACGGCGATGCCGGCATCTAACAATAGGGTACATGATATCTCGGGACGTCGTGTTGACACATCGAACAACGTGCAACACTCGATCGCATCTCGCCCAGGCTGGTGTTTGTCTATACGGAGCGAAAGTGGGGCGGAACAGGCTCATGAGTTTCACCTCCCGACGAACGACCAAAATCCTTGTGTCTAGGATTGATGGGGTGTTACCTGGGCATGCGATGCCTGGCGGTACATCTTTCTCGCCCAGTCCCTGGCTTCCTCACCGGACAACCAGTCCCACTCCAGCGGCCCCACCCCTCCCGGAGCAGACACGCCCTCCTCCAGCGTTCGGAGGAGTACCCCGACATCGGCCTGGGGGTCTCCTCCTTCCTCTTGACCCCCTCCGCCGCCACCACCACCTTTGTTTGTGACCCCGTTCCGACCGGCAGTGGCGGTGGCACCGCCGCCAGAGGAGGACGCAGAGGAGGACAGAGCGGCGGCCGCGTCGAAAAGGACGTCGAGGTTTGTTCGGCTGCTGCTTTCTGGTATCGCTGCATCAACCGAGCCGCCGCCACCTTCGCCGATTCCGCTAAGGTTGTTTAGGCTGTCGTCGTCCGAGGACAACTGCGGTTCGATTCCGTAGATACGGGCGCGCCGTCCATGGACGACCATTTTCATTATCCCCGAGAAGGCTTCCTTGCGAGTTAGGAAGTGCTTGACGGGAGGAGTACTACCTGCTTGACATGCGGGAGGAGAGGGGATTGGGGGTGGGCGTGTTCATACGACATAAATATTAAAGAATAATTGGATCGGCTGTCGCGGTGTCTCTCGCTGACCCCCCATGACTCTACGCCTCCCATTCCCATACTCCGAAGCAACGGTTTTCAGGTGCCCGTCATGTCAAGCCACGACACTGACATCTCTATTCCCACACCCGTGTCCCCCGTAGCAAAAAGGTACCCATCGGGCATAACCTACCTCTTGGACCGTCCAAGCTTCGCTTGAGCTCGATCCTCTCCCAGTAGTCTAGTTGCCCGGGCCCGCCGGCGGTGCGGGATTTATTGAACTCGCATGCCATGGGGTGTCTGGCGGGAAGCACTTCCGTCTCGGGACACTCCTGGGCGTGGCGGAGACAACGGTGGTTGGGCCTACGCTTCGAGGCATTGGAGACCGCGTGGCACGTTGCTCTACACTGTTCTAGGCAAGGGTTTGAGGCAAAGGCCACGGTATTGCGTTGGGGGTAACTGTGTGGGGGGTGTTTTGAGCGGAGAATTTTTGCGGGGAATAGGGCGTTTCATTTCGTGTGGCACGGGATGGGGTAACCTTTCTTTCGTATTAGAGTTTCGCTATATTTTTTCCCGTGTGCACCCTGTAAGCATTGGTCAGCAGGACAACTCAGCGTAGCAACAAGGGCCGACACGAGTAGAACTTGCAGTTGGAAACAAACCTGTTTTGTGTCCATGTCATCAACAGGCTGCATGTTGTGGGTGGCACCTGGACGCCGTCGATAACACCCTACTTTCTCTCTTTTTCGAAGCGATATCTGCCGCTGGCGTGTGTAATTTTCGCGGTAAAAAAGTGTGGGACACTATGTCCGTGAGCGTGAGCTAAGCTGGGGCGGACGACGGGTCTTGAAGAAGGGTGGGGGGAGGAGGCCCAATGTGCACACAGAACGCGAAGCCCACACACACAGTTGCTTTTATAGTCACGGCCAAAAGAGGCAAACGAAGGAAAAACTCTCACCGAAATCGGGCCTTCTCCGCCTTTTCCACCACCGCCGGCACCACTGTCCCAATTCCTCCCAGACGCGGGATGCTTCGGAAGAACCTGCGTCGGCGATGGTTGACTACTCCGGGGGCTCTTCGGCTTCGCCTTCCAAGCCTTGTCAAGCACCCTGCGCTGGTCGTCGAGATCTCTGCCTCCATGCTTAGGCTCGACCGCCCCGCAGAACGAGACGTAGTTCACGAAGCTGTTCCCGTGTTGGTGGGGACCAAAGAGGGTTCGGGAAGGAGAGGATAGGGGAGGGAAGAGGACGAGATGGAATCTTGGAGCTCGGCGGGTGCGACGCGCTCGAACACGGTACCAAATGCGATACAAACTAGACGGTTCGACGGCGCCGATAACGCATTCCCGCTACACCTCGATCAAGAGTCCTCCCCAATGGGTCTACTGAAGACGACTTTGGCGTCGCTGATCTAGCCTTCCATTTTCTCTCCTCGCTCCCGCTCCCGAGCAATTGGAAATAGTTCCAACGCAAACACTTCCCACCTCTGCCCCAGGAACACCGGGTCCCTTCCTAAGGACACGGCCCTTCGCGGGGGCGATGCTCGGAATGCCTCCAACAGTAGCCCTCCCACCAAGCCTTCTTTCCCGGCGAGGAAGCCGGTACTGTCGACCTCGTTGGCGGCGTCGGGACCGACGTCTGGCCACAGCCCGTGCGACCTGAGGCATCTCGTGAACAGGTTCTGTTCGTTTTTTGCAAGGTCGGGGACAAAGCGGGATGAATTTTATTTTCGCGGGCGGAATACAGGAGGACTTCAGCACTTGTCCGCATCAGAACATACAGGAAAGGGAGCTATTTATCTACAATGCAATACACAGCTCCGTAGTGACCTGTCATGTACCGTAGGAGTGGAGGGGCGGAAGCTCGTACTACCATCGTTGGCTATGGCGAAGGATTTCTTGCAGCGGATGACCCCACCCTTCCCTCCGCTAAACGGGATATGCAAGTGTTTCTAAACATCTTCCTGAACATCGAGCACGGATGGTCACATCTCGTTTGTTCCGTTCTTCCCCGTCACCGCTGACAAGGCGCGCAGTAACGCTAAGCAAAGTGAATTTCCAAGTTTTTCCAGGCTAACTCGTTGCTACCTTCCCCACCCTCCATCAACCTGAGTCACTACTTCCTCCCGCCGGGCATCCTCCGCCATGAACCACTCCTTCAGCAGGATCCGGCGCTGCTTGACGATGGCTGTCATACGACTCAGCTCCTTCGAAGGGGGACGTCAAAACACAGACAGGTAAATACAATGTTTTTTTTGTGGAAGCAGCGAATGGTGAGGTGTATCCCTAGGTTTCGGCCATAAATAGAGCATTTCCACGCCGTCGCCGATGCGCAACCGTGCCCCTAAGCGCGACGAACAAAAAAGGGCTGCTTGCACCAAGAACGGGTAAATAAGCTCAAGAGCTCAAGAGATATATCAACAAGGTGCGAGTATTATTTAGGGTTGTTGTGAGGGGTTGAACCCACCTTTCGAAGCAGACCTTGCATCCGTTTGGTGTCGAGAGGACGCGCCGCCGGTGGGGAGGGGTCAGCGGTGTTGGCACCCCCGCCTCGATCGCCCTGCCAATTCTTTGTCTGCAGTTTGTGGAGGGCGGAATAGGAAGGCCAACAACAGAGAAAGCGAGAAGAGAAGGGCACAAAGGGAGGGTGAGAACAGGTATGGCCTGTCGCCTGCCAGTTAAACTAGAGCAAGTTTTGCGGTGAAAGTACGACTCAATTGCGCACGTGTAGTGTTTGTTGGTGTCAAGTACGTCGGGTAACAAGGGATCAAGTTAGCGACGCACGAAGGAGGGCAACATGAGTATGGAGTAGAAACGGTTGGTAGACGCGTGTGCATGTCGATGTCGGGGCGTGGCGTCTTCCTGCTTGAAATGCTGCTGCATTGACATTTCTGTATGGACTTCTTGGGGGGTTCCAACGTTGAATGGCGTGCTGCCTCTTGCGAGTCACAGCGACAGTAATGAATATGGGAGGGCCATGCTGTGATGAGCGCAAGTCAGAGGGGTCGAGCAAGCACATTGCCGTGCCATTAAGAATGGCGATACAGCACTAGTCCTATTGCGTACTCGGAGTACCTGCTATGATGTGATCTGGCGCGGCCAAATCAATCTGACCCGGTGCCAGAGCGACGAGGAATGTACAGGGAGGGGATGGACGCAACAAGGACATGGTCGCGTGCTTGCTAAGACAGCAGTTGATTCACGCAATAGTTGGTAGATGTGCCCATGTCACTCGCCTCCTCTGCCGCTAGATCCTGGGTCAGCCGCACTCTGTCGCTGTGAGCACCTCGCGTGGACGCTTCCCAGCTTTTGGGAACCCGCGCTCGGCGAGCGCTGCTTCTCTCCTCTTCGGTTATCTGCTAGTTCCGATGTAAAAATGGACATTGTAAACGGTAGGGCAGCGGAGGGTGGGGATGTAACTACGCCCTTCGGCAAACTAACATCGTCGGAAAGACGACCAAAGACAGGGGGTGGAGAGCAGCAGTATCACTGACACCCGGCTTATGCCCGTCACGAAGCTATGTCATTCTTCATGCCAAGACAACGTTTAAGGGTCACATCATGCTTCAACATCGATTGCACCGATCTCCCGAAATGTACACACGCAGGATTCGCGAGATCGCAGGGAGACTTCCACCTAGGGCGTGAACATTGGTTCTAAGACATGAAGATGGTCATGAGTTGTGCACCTGTTGCATACCTTGTGCATATCCAGCGTTTCCAACCAGGGAATATTTTTTATGACAAGCAGGCGGTACCCGGTTTCTTCCGCGAGGGGGTTGCCCGAGAGTTCTAGGTAACGCAGATGCCGCATCAGCCGCAATATTCCCAGGCTTGCCTGGTGGTTAACATAGACGGATGTTCGATTGACGGGAACGCCAACGCCGGAAGATTTCATAGTCGACGTGCGAAACGGGATATACCCGTGCTAAAACAATCGCCACCCATGCATTGTCGTTCGTGAAGGAACGTGTGAAACGGTTCGGTGTGGAGAGGAATGTACCTCATTGCGCTAGTGTGTACTCGTTGCACGACGGGACGCAAACACACCGAGAGTCCCACCTGTAGCAGTAGACAAGCGCTCTACATTTCTCGTCAAGTTGCTGCATGCCAATGACAGGGGTCTCGCACGGAAATACAAAAGTCAGTATTAAACTGGCACGAGGTACCATGTGCCTTTACCTGAAGATTGCCGATGCGGTTGTTCCCCAGCGTTAGCGTATGCAAGAAGGTGAACGCTAGCAGGGATCCCTTTTCGAACCGCACCATGACACATTCAGCATGGGACCAATGCGGGAGAGAAATCAGAATCGTGTTGGCAGTACAAGTCGGACCAACGCATAAACACAACCTGGCAGTACAAGTTGGACCAACGCATAAACACAATCGGTCAGTGGAAACTCCCTCGGGCAAGTCCACCTGCTCTTCTGGTGTTGTATATTTTGGGCGATCGTGGTATCTCAGGGAGGGTAACGATTGAAGCCAACAGATTTGAGCAAGACCCTCCCGCATTGTGTCCGACAGCTGTCTAGCGTCAGAATAATGGGAAGGCAAAGATAGAGAACCTGTGAAGTGCAGCCTCCCCCGAAATTTTCATACCTTCAGTGTTCCAATGCGGTTGTTGTGAGCATACAGGCTCTTGATGGTCGGGTTGTAGTCAAGGTTCGTGATGCGCGAGAGGGAATTGTCGTTGACCCAGAGAACCTACGTCACGGCGTCACACAAAATGTGGTTTGTTCGAGGCATCTGCAAGAACAACGGTACAGGCCCCATGGGCATCACATCCTGAGTATCGCTACAGGGGGACACATGGATGGGTTGTCGGTCAACCTTCCTGGTAGAAGCTTCGCCGTTGTCTTGCACACAAACGGAGCCCTGCAGGCAAATAGCAAGCAATATAGTATCTCCTTCTACATACCCTAGCCCTTGCCAATAACTCAGGCGGATAGACGCGTCTGGTGGTTGGTTGGGGTAACGCCGTCGCGCACCTCCAGACTCTCGAACGCCTCCATATCGTTGGTGAGGTGAGTGATGCCCCGCTTCGCCAGGTACAGCTCTTCACCACGTATGACCACACAAGCGTCGGGCAGAAATCAGGGATTCAAATGTCAACATAACACAGTGTTCCTATGAATCGCGGACCCACTCTGGAAACCGCTGGAGTATGCATACATGGACGTACATTGAACGACGAACCTCGTACGTGGATTTGTTTGATATGTTGTTTTCTACTCAGTACCTGCTTCCATCCGTATGTCCCCAACTGACCGGACAACACTCGTGTTCACAGGCTAGCTACCCAGCATGGGTGCGCATTACAAAAAATCAAAAAACATGAAGAGATCCGGAGAAATCAATACATAGACTACTACATGCGCTACTAATGAGAGAATACAAGTCCTGCACGACAGTCAGACTCTGCAGGTGACATTGTTGCTCCTTCTAGATCTTCGCACACTTTGATAAGATGGTTTGTGTGTTTCATTATCTAGCGTCGACCGTGCTATCCGGCGGACGAAGATATCAGTGTTACAATAGATATTTTTTTGAAGAAAAGTGGCCCGGTAGGGACGCTTGTTGTTGTAAAAAAAACAGCCGTTTTAAGGGGGGGGGAAACGGGCTCAAGTAAGTCCGTCTGTCTGTCTGTGACCAGCCTCGATATATTACCCAGCAGATTCCAGCCCGTTTCACCATCTCGGCACCAAATTGCAATCTAGGACTTGTTCACAACAAGTAATATTTTGCCCGAGCTGCCCCAACTGCTACCTTTTCAATGCGTGCTCGGTGCGTCGAGATAGTGCAGCGTCGGTACCCAACTTGAAGCAGGGAAGTTTCTGGCCCCTTGCAACACCGAGAGGAGGCGTCGTTTGATTTTGAACCAAGACAGATAGCCTCGCACACCACACACCACACACACACAGGGCCAGATATGGGCAAACAGGGAGAGGGAGACACAGACCACAGCGAGGGCGAGACAGCGGGAGTACGATGTGCCATACACTGCTGCTGTTAGCTATCGGCGGAGGAAGCGAGAAGAGAGATCAACTTTTGGTTGCAGCAGCAGCAGCAGCAGCAGCAGCAGCAGCGGCCTCTCTCTCTCTCTTTCCGCGGAGAGGGGCACATGACACCAACAACACCCAGACGCTGCTACGCACCACCACTGGTGGGACATGTACTGCTGTACGCCTCTCTACACTTTTGTGCGCGACGGCCTAGTGTGCGACCAGTGCCTCCCGTGCTAGCCTGGTTATCCATCACACGCTTGAACGCTTTTGCGATTTCTCGATCAAAGCTCGAAGCAACAAGCGAAGCACAACAACAGAGACATTTTTTTTAGCTGCTACCCCTATTTTTTAATATACCACACCCCTCCTTCCCCCCCGGGAGTCACATTGATTGGCGCCCCCCACACCTCAATCAATATATTGTAATACTGCTGTGTAGTAAACGGGCCAATGGTAGCAACGCACGAGCATACTGCAGGTACGTTTTTCAACATAAAACTATTCCACCTCCCGATCTAGTAGCGGAGGCAACAAACGCGACCCGGACTCTAGTATATCGGGCTTCCCCGGTAGGGGTACTGCGGAGGAGGACAACAGGGTCCTGGTCCGAGTATTTTGAAAAGGGAGAGACTACTTGTATCACCACGTAGAATACCAACCTGTCGCGGTATGTGCTTCCTCGCGAGCATCATTTCCTTGAAGTTGGCTACTTTGCAATGTCCGTCTACCTTACATTTAGCCATGCCACGGAGATCGTCATTAGCGTTCTGCATCGACCCTGCAATTCATTTTTGCTGGACACTGCTCAAGAAATTATCTGGGAAATCAGGACACACGCACACCACCACCATGGTTGTTTATTTTCATCGGGCTCCCGCGGCAGGGGAGCCGTGGAGGCGATTGCACGATGGGATCCACTCCGGGTTCAGAGTAGTTGTAGAAAAGGTCGCTTGTACGACCAATACAACAAAATATTGCAAATTCTCGAGGACGCGACATTGCGTAGTTTCGGTCAAATACACTTGTAGCTAGTCATGTATCACACCTGTGCAGTCGGCGATATTTTTTGCGATGTTATTCAGCTCCTGTCGAGGTCTGGCAGGCACACCCTCACTGTCATGGCCACCCCCATATCCCATCGGTCCTCCTGAAGGTTGGCTAGTTAGCAGTAGGAGTTCGACGTGCGCGTGTCGGGTCGGAACTCTGTCTCTATCTACGCGCTGACAGTTCGCCGCACGCCGTGGGCAACGAGGCGGCGCAATTAATAAAGGGCGGTGCAACACGAAACGGAACCTAAACCAGCCATCAGTACGACAGATCGAGGCCACCGTGCGCAAACGAAGACTGTCTGTGTTTCGCGGGCTTTGTTATGCGCATGGAGGACAACCGCCTCCCCAAGCGCATGCTGTTAGGAGCGATGGCGGGGGGCGTGGGATACCGGGGCGGGCAGGAGAGCGACTAGGTGTCTCGTCTAGGAGAGGACCTCGTGGCCTTCAACATGGGAGACGACAATAAAAGCAAAATGGAAAGAGAGCGCCAAGGACCCGGAGGTGTGGTACATCAAGGTCGAGGACGGGGCGACATGGTTCATGAGGAATGGCACAGGCAGGAGGCGGAAGCGTCCGCGAAGCGCCAGCGCGCGAGGGAANTAAAAGCAAAATGGAAAGAGAGCGCCAAGGACCCGGAGGTGTGGTACATCAAGGTCGAGGACGGGGCGACATGGTTCATGAGGAATGGCACAGGCAGGAGGCGGAAGCGTCCGCGAAGCGCCAGCGCGCGAGGGAAGCAGAAGCAGAGAGTAAGGCCAGCTCGGGACCGAAGAGAAAGAGAGTCGGGGAAGCGGCGGTTGGGGGGAGAAACGGCGACCGGGCACTCACTGCTGTAGAAACGAGTAGGGTGGCCGAGGCAGCACTTGTGGCGAACTATGTACCCGGCTGATGATGTTGTTGCGCCCTGGTTCCCTCCCTGCTGTATGCTATACTCCTTTATGTATGTCCTTTGTATTACCTTCGGCCTCTGTGCTTTGTTTCATTCTTCTCATGTCCTCCCTGCCTCCTCTGTCTGCCGTGTTGGGTACCTTGATCTCACTTTTACTGTTGCTTTTTATGTTTTTATACATCTGGCTGTCTGCCCATCTGCCGCCTCTTTGTTCTGTTGGCCCCGTTGCTCCCATGCCCTGGTGCGTAATGGCTGGGGCTGGTACGTTACCCTTTGATTTTTTAGGCGGGTGTGGGAAGCGTCCTCCTAGACTATGTTTTGTCTTTGTTATATTTTGATCGGTTTCCGAGGGCTCTTTTCTCGACCGGTCGGTGCGGTAGCTGTTCCTTTCTTTTTATCATTTTCTTTTTCCGAGTGGTTTGTACCCTCTTTTTGTTTCCCCGCGGCGTCGTATGTGCCGGGTTTTGAGACCACGGGNGACTATGTTTTGTCTTTGTTATATTTTGATCGGTTTCCGAGGGCTCTTTTCTCGACCGGTCGGTGCGGTAGCTGTTCCTTTCTTTTTATCATTTTCTTTTTCCGAGTGGTTTGTACCCTCTTTTTGTTTCCCCGCGGCGTCGTATGTGCCGGGTTTTGAGACCACGGGCTCCCCATATTTGTGGGCTATAGAGCTAATGTGAGAAGCAACAAAAAAAGCAAAACAAACGTCATCATTATTAGGCTCGACGTTACCACCGTGTGTCAGCGAGAGCAGTGCTGCTGCGTTCCACGACAAATCAAAAGGGGGCGAGACACGGACGAACACGCCAGCTAATGATGATTGTACAACAACATGCATGCGTACAGCAGGCAGGCGTCATTTGTCGTCGATTGTCGATGTACACCGCGCAGCTGTTGATAGACTACTGTACAACAAGAGGAATGGGCAGTCGTTCTGTGTTTGTATCTGTGTTTCCTACGAGGTGGACTAGAAAACGCCCGTTCTATGTGTCTGCCTGCCTGCCTACTGTCTATTACTGGCAAAACTCACGCTATTCCCGGCAACATAAGTTCGCGGGAGCTTTTCAACTCGGCGGTTCTCCCACTATTAGCAGTCGGTCGGTTTCAACATTTCAATAGAAGGCAACAACAACGGCAGCACCACACACAGCAGAACAACTGAAAAAAAAGTTACCACTCCAAGCCCACACTGAAGAGAGAGACGAGGGACTGAAGTATCCTCCCGGGGACATAGACTACTAGTGGATGAACTTACAAAAGTTGAAACTTCTACTGCGACAAGGTTGATGTCGGTGCAGATTTATACGAAGTACGCAGTATATAGTAGTAGTCACCCAAGAGGAAACGAAGAGGGTGCCGGAAGAGATGTAGTTGTACATGTATGAAGTGAATAAGGAAAAAAAAAACATATTTCAGCGGAAGACGAAGAGCAAAGAGGACGAAAGGCGAACAAAAAATCATACCAAAACTGTGCGGAAAACGGTGCGAAAGGAATAGCGACCGCAAGCGGGAGCTATATCAGCCTTTGTTTGGGTCAATCGCTGGCTGGCGACGAATGTCAAGTCACCCGAATCTCTAGATACCGTTGGGAGTCACGAACCAATTGGTATTTATTATGAATCGTGGGAACATTTGATTGACTGTTGAAACACTATATCCCTTCGTCGACGCCAATGAGAATGCCTACAGAGTCTGAGTCACTGAATGAAGTGGTGCTTAATCCATCACCAGCGAGCGGAGATATTTGTCTCTCCTTGATATACATATGTGGCGAGGAAGTGCCAAGCGTAGCTGAGTCTCGGCTTAGCTAGCTCAAGAAAAGTGGAAGTGAGAGTGGGGGCGCCTCCGTGAGCATCTCCCCACCTCCGAGATTCACATAAATGGTCACGGCATTCTGTGAATCTTTCCTGGCAAATGTCTTCGGTAGGTAGAATATTGTTCGACGATCTTTGCTAGTCGGATGTGGATCATACCTCTAGGAAGCTAGATATTTGTATCCTGGTTTCCATATCGAAAGTTGTATGTCCAAATCTATCTCAACGTACGTGAGGAAGCAGTGTCAAATTAAT